GCTGTACAAGAACTGCAAGGAGGATGTCGAGTATCCGGCCCCCAAGTTGCTGCAGCTCACCGGCCCGGAGACCATCTGGGTGGTGGACAATGAGCTGAGCCTACAGCTCCTGCAGCAGAACACCGGCGGTGGAGTAAGCTCCTCCACTGGAAGCTTTGATAACCAGAACTCCCTGCTGAAGAAGCAGCTGGAATCGGGCGGTGGCCAGTTGGTGACCATTCCACGGGATACGTCAGTGTCCAAAAACGAGGGCGAAACCCCCGAGGAGGATGAAGAGCGACGAAGCAGCTCCACGCCGTCGACCAGCGCCTCGGTGGCCACCAGTGATTTGGCGGCGGATGCCAGCAGTGATGCTGGATCCGTGGACATGCCCCAGTCGGTTCCGGCGCCGGAACGCTGTCTCCACTGTCCGTTTGAGACCCAGCAACACGAGGAGCTGCTGCAGCATCTCCAAAAGCACGCGTGCGTGAATCCTCCGCCACCCAACTCCCAGCAATGTGCCCACTGTGATTACATTACCAGCGAGGAATCGGGAATGGAGGAGCACACGGCTCTGCATTTCAATGCCATTGAGAAACTGAAATCCGTGGAATTCTACACCTGCTACGATCAGCTCGAGATCAGTGTGGAGCGGGAGCCAGAGGAAACCGGGGAGTCAAAGGACGAGCAAACCGAGCACAACAACAACCAGGACAACGTGGTGAATGCCAATGTGCAGCAGGAGCAGAGTAGACCAGATGAAGAGCCGGCTGACGAGGCGACGGAGGAGCCGCTGGCCAAGAAGCCCAGCACCAAGTTGATTCTGTACAAGAACGAGGGCGGCTTGAGTGTGAAGTCCCCTCAGGAGGAAGCAACCTTGGAGTCGCAGAAGAGCGAGAACATCAGCGATCGCCTGCGCCGAAGGATCCTCCGTGGAAGTGCCAACCAGCCGGAGGACCCGCAGGCCCAGGAGCGACCCACTACACCGGACAAAATGATACTGGTCAATGCCAAGACGGGCAAAGTCATTTCCAGAAAGTAGACCTCCAAGGGTCGAACCTTTTATTAAGTTTAATCACGTTACACCTAAGTTCATCATTTATTTAGCCCTAAGTGAGTTTTGGTTTTGTTAATACCTTGTTGTTGCTTATGTTTTCTTTTTTTGGGGTATGCGTTAGTGGAGTTCGGGATTCGTTTTAGGCACCTTTTAAGGATTTCTATTGTCACTAACACACACCCACATACACACACCTAGTTGGAACATGTTCCTGCACTTAAAACTTGTTTAAGCCCTAAGTTAGTCTTACGTACCCCTTATTTATAAAAAGAGAAAAACAAAAATTCGAATATTTTACCTATGGGAAAACCCGGAATTCTTACTGTAATTACTTGATAGAACGGTGCAAATTGTAATTTAAATTAATTGTATTGTAAATTATCAGACAACTATAACGTACATTTAAAATTAGAACCCTTATATATTTACCATTGGCTAAATATGTAAAATGTTACACGAAAACCTAACCCAACCAGAGCAAGATCCAAAAGCGTTTCAAAGAAATCCACTTTGTATAGGAGAAAAAAGATAAATTCAAAATTAGGTCTTGCTTTAATTAGTTCATTTAATTTTTTGAATGGGAACTGTGATTATTAATAAATGTAGATGCAACAAAAAAAGTGAACGCGTATATCATGCAAAGAATATGGTACTATATACATACTATATAAATCTATACATATATATTTACACACAGCTGCTGCAAAAACAAAAACACAATTTAAATGCAATTCAAAAATCAACAAATAGGGAAATTTTTGCAATATTTGCAATATTATTTTGTAAAAGTGCAGCACACGGTTAAAAATAGGTCTTAGTTCTTAGTTTCTACTACGGAATAATTATGTTCTAATCAGTACTACGATTGTTTTCAAGCAAACAGCGTCTTTGTAGCACAGTCTAGCACTGTGCAAACACTACAAACAAAATGTTATCATAAACTCTAAGCGATCGAAAAGAACACATGTGGAATAGCGGGGCCATATTTAAATAGTTTAAAGTAAAGAAACATTAAAACAGAGCAAATCAAAACCAGAAATCGCCAGCGAGCGAAATTGTATACAGAAACTTACTTGGATATAACTGCAACCGCCTTTGATATGCATATATACATCTTATATCGATACCGATATCTATACACACAATATATACTATATATTAAATAGTCCTTAACATTGAACTACATTTAAACTTAAAGCTAGTGTAAATAACTTAGTTTTGTTTACTACGCACACGGCCACACACCACACTTACACACACACAAACACACACGAAGATTTACGGCATTAAATTACAACAGAGAAAATGTACAAAAAACAAATGTTAATAAAGAAATCAAATAAAAATACACAAGTTGCTTTACAATTTAACTTTTTCTCAATATCTTAAAAAAATCATCGAAAATTAATGTTTTGAACAATAATCACAAATAATCGCTTTTTAACATGTATAACTTTAATACGCGTTATTCGTTACTCTATCGACGTGCGAAAAGTTTTTTAAACCGGAACCTTAATTAATAAGGTACATTGGTAAGGGGTATATGATAGTCGACTACATCATTCCGATTACGATTTCCGAATGGAGTACAGATGTTAAAGATGCCGTTAAACGAATTCGCGGTTTTACCCGTTACTTGAAGAGTAAAAAAAGGAAGAACGCTATAGTTGAGTACCTCGACTATCAGATACCCGTTACTCAGCTAAAGGGACAGAGGGAAAATGGAGATATGCAAGCAACAAAGCGAGATGGAAATGGGCCACCTACCCGCGGTCTCAATATATGGTTATGTGGGCGGTAGACAGTCCTAAGCGTTATGGGCGTTAGAGTGGGCGTGGCAACCTTTGAGTCAATTGATAGGTATTGATAGGAACACTTTATTTCAGATAAAATTTTAACTCTAGAATCAAAACTGTAGGAGCCACAGTTTTGAGCGATTTGTGGGCGATAAAGTGGGTGTGGCACGCTGCTGAAACAAACTTGCGCTGCGTAAGAAGCTCAGGAATCTGCATGCCAAATCTCAATAGCCTAGCTCTTATAGTTTCCGAGATCTCAGCGTTCATCAAGACAAACAGACGGACATGGCTAGATCAATCGATAGGTAATGACGAGATCAATAGATTTCAGTTAAAATTTGTTATCTAGCATGAAAATTGTGGGCGCCACAGGTTTGGTCGGTTTGTAGGAGTTAGAGTGGGCGTGGCAAACTATTTTTTTGATCAATCGATAGGTATTGACGAGACTAGTACATTTCAGTTAAAAAATTTTTTCTAGCATGAAAATTGTAGGCGCCACAGGTTTGGGCGGTTTGTGGGCGTTAGATTGGGCGGGGCAAACTTTTTTTGGGTCAATCGATAGGTATTGATGAGAACAATACATTTCAGCTAAAATTTTTATTCTAGCATAAAAACTGTAGGAGCCAAAATTTTTGAGCGGTTTGCGGGCGTTAGAATGGGCGTGGCACCCTGCTGAAACAAACTTGCGCTGCGCAGGAATCTCAGGAACCTGCATGGCTAATCCCAGTATTGCAGCTTGTATTGTTTCCGAGATCTCAGCGTTCATACGAACAGACGGACATGGCTAGATCGACTCGGCAAGTGATCCTGATCAAGAATATATATACTTTATGGGGTCGGAAACGCTTCCTTCTGTCTGTTACAGTCCTTCCGAAGAATCTAGTATACAATTTTACTCTACGAGTAACGGGTATAAAAACGGATTCATACAAACCCACATATAAAGGCACATACATTTTCATTTTGGAAAGTCCCTCAAAATCTTGTTTTTGGAATTACTTCTGAACGTAGCATTGTATTTTAACAAATGTCATTCGACGCATAAAAAACTTGGCTAACAACCTGGGGCATTTTTAAGCAATCTTTTTAGTTTTTGGAACACCTTCTGGAGTATGACTCGTTATCGGACCATCATTATAGATATTCAATTCTTCGGCTATGTATATAGTAGTCGCCTTCGCACACTCTCCGGTTGCGCTCCGAGAAAATCACATTCAGCAAATCAGGAGTTTTTGTTTACTAATACGCTACCAAGCCGCTAGGGGCGCTATAGGTTATGTGTTCTAGTGAAAAAGGCCGAATTGCTTTAAGCACTTCTATCGCACTCCCTTTAGCTGAGTAACTAATTATAGCGTTTTCTCTTGTTTTTTAATTTTACAAAGTTTTTAAACGTCCCAAAAACGGTCACACCTTAGAGCTAATAATTAATGTTAAAAAACACAGTAATACAATAGATTGAAATCGAGACTAAAAATTTTTAAAATAATGTTGAAATGTTGTCTCAAAATTCAAGAAACCACTCCGGAAGACGCGTGGATTGAGGAGATAAAAGCTGAATGGAAGATGGTGCTGATGGATGTACCGGAAAGGGACTATTTGTCATGTTTGAAGGATTGGAAAAAACGATGGCATAAGTGTATTTTAAAGCGAGGGGATTTCCTAAAAGGGCAGGAAATTAAATTAAAAGAGTAAATAAAGATTATACATTTTAAAACTAATTTAACTTTTTTTTTACTGGCGTAAATGATAATAATATATTTGCTTTTGAAATTTGCAGGTTGTTTACTTAACTAGTTTATTAACTAGTTTACAATAGTAAAAAAGCGTTATTTTTGACGTGTAACTTTCAAAATCGCAGTAGGTCTTTTAAAAAACAAATCAAATCAAATTACTGTTACTTACGGTCCCGGATACTTTTTACTTCATACATAAAGAAATCTAACAATTCGACGATTCTGATAACCACATGCAAGGTTGAGCCACAGTTAAGCCAAGTTCACCAACCAAGTTCATAGTGATCCCTTGTGGTTGATCTTAAAAAATATTTATTATTCCACAACTAATTCGAAAAAGTAACAATACGTAAAGATTTTTTTCAGTGAATCAATCGATTGTTGCAAGAAAATCACTGATGCTGGCCTATTTCTGAAGATATCGATAGTATCGAATAAACACAGACTATTGTTCCACCTCTATCTTACCGAGTGGAAAGCAACAAAGTTTGGATGAAAGATTACAATTGAATTGCGATGCATTTACCCAAAATTCGACTGTAGCAGCCACCCGAAACGACAGAGAGCCAACGCAGATCACCCCGAGCCGCAGCCACATGGATACCAAGTCCAACGATGACTCGGCTGGCAGTGACTCGCTGGACAAATCTATGCAAATCAAGTGTGTGATGGTGGAGACGACGACGGGAGACGGAGACTCCAATGCGGGCGCAATGCCCTCACCCGGGGATCTGGACAACTGCAGCAGGGATTCCGCTGCGGAATCAATGGGCAAGGGGTCGGAATCAGTATCGGGACCAGAGGCGGGAGCTGGGAAGCAGGCGGATCACAAGACTGAAGCTGCGGCGGGGACGCGGGGCGAGGGCGACAGTCCGCAGAGCAGCCAATCCCCACCAGAACATCCGGCCAACAGCTCGCCCACATCCTCCTGCACTGCCTTCGAGACGAAAGTCAAGCTAATCTCACAGAACCTCAAGGAAACCACGCTGGCCGAGAGTTCCGGCGCATCAGTATCGGCATCCACGTCCGCCTCCAGCAGCAGCAGTCTTCTGGAGTCGCAGACGCCCAACAATTCCACCACAGACATCGACTCCGCGTCGTCGGTCCGCGTGAAGAAGGTGCGCTTCCATCCGGACGTCAAGGAAAACGACGGCGGAAACTGGGTCAAGAAAAAGCGACGCTCCACGCAGACGAAACGGGCCTCCTCGCCCAGCGGAGCCAACTGTGATGGCATGGAGATGGACGGCGAGGCCGAGGAAGAGTACGAGGCCAATGACGACGAGGAGGAGGAGCCGGAGGAGGAGTTCGACCTGGCCAAGACAATCGCCGAAGCGGAGGACTACCTCAAGCAGCATCCGCTGACGTTTGTGCAGCGCGTCGAGCAGAACGGTGAGCGGCTGCAGGACGGACTGCTCAGCATCGAGGATATGCTAAACGAAGTCGGCGAGGAGGTGGTCACCGAGTACAACGACGAGGACTTCTTCAGACGCATCAAGCCGGAGAACGGCATTGAACGCATTCTGGGCAAGGAGACCAAGGCGGGCAAGGTAGGATTCTGCTGTAGTTTTCAAATCTTTTCCGAAAATACCGTTAAAATTCAGCATTCTCCCTTTAAAAACATACGTTATAACCAATATTTCTTACAGGTTGAATTCCTCTTGCGCTATGAGAACCAGGGTGGTCTTTTTTGGGAATCGGAGGAGTTCATTAAGCGTACATGTCCCTCTCTCCTCAAGGCCTACGAAAAGAATCGCGAACGACGTCAGCAACGTTTGGTACGCCCTTTTCCTACGTGTAACCACTTTGAATATCCGCTTGTAAACTCAACGATTGTATATTCCAGATGCACCATGTTGCCAAACGACAGAGCCTGCGACAGCGATACACGGATTTCTAGTAGCGGCTACTTAGGTATTAAGTTCTTAATTAGGTTCCACATAATTGTAACGTTTTTGTAAAATGAAGTAAATGATTTTCTTTTGTTGAACAAAAATAACAAAAACACAAGATCCGTACATGATGGGTGGTTAAGTATAGCTCTGCTAGGCTGTTCCAATGAAAAGTTCGACATAAAACACAACTTGGTTTGAAAAATAATTTCATTAATACCCTGTTTTATAGACCCAGAAATGAATAATCCTAGGGACTTGAAAGCAACCAGGCTTTTCGAATACATTTTTATTAATAAAACCAGCCAGTTGTAATATACAGTTTTTGAAAATATGTTTCACTGGGGAAACCACTCAAAATTTAAGCCGCCCTGTCAAGGGTTAAAGCAACTATCGCATAGCAGCCCATCCCTAAGTGTGACCGCACGGGCGGCTAGAGTGACCGTCGGGCAGACAAACTGAAACTCAGTGCGACGACGGACGCGAAACCCAAAAATTAAAATTAATTTTATTAGAGCTCGGTGCGAAAGTCTGCCACATTTGCTGAGCCAGCGCGTCGCTAGAGATTTGCTTGCTATCTATCTGACCGCAGACCGAGTGTTTCCAAAAGATACAGCCAACCGAAGCCCGCTAAGCAATCCTCGACTCGGAACAAAAGAGAAATTTTTTGCGTGGTCACCAGTCGTAGTTTGTTCGGGAATCGCCAAACAGAAATTCCGGGGCCAGGCAGTAAAATGCAATAGCTAAGAGCCGGATCATAAACAAATTGGTACGCAGCAGGTGAAAGTCGGAGTCCTGAGAGTCCAGGTAAGTGCACCTACATATGCGACCCCGCAACCCCCGCCTCCGCACTCACCCTTATTGCCCCGATTATATATCTCGATTTTGTGTACTTCATCCGCTTCCCCAAATGCGCAGATTACTTTTCGGGGGAGTGGGTCTGTGGGCTATATCGGCCACATATATTCCCGGCCGATCGGCTTTCCCTGCCATTATATAAGGCTTCCCCGTCCGATTCGCATATGTTATGATGTTGTTTACTGCACTTGTTTAGGTGCAGTGCGCCCTGTTCGAAATCCCCTTCTATAAATAGTTGCAGCAGTGCATTTTTTGTCAACCTCGGCCGATCTGCGTCTGATTTTGACGTTGATGTTGATTTTGTGGCAGGTCAGTTGTCCTGGCCCCCAGATATGCACACATGCTTCAAGTCCTCCTAGTGCGTAGTTGCTCACAAAGAGAAATCGCCAGCGAATCCAATCCATCTGGCTCTGGTGAAGGCGGCATTGTCTCCTCTTGAACTTGACGTTGACCGCTGGACTTTGTTTTTTTTTTACTTATTTGTCGACTGCGCGTGCTTTTGTTTGGTTCATTAACCCACATCATCGCCTCTCGTCTTGCAGGAGAAGAAACGGCGGAAAAACTACGCCACAAACAAACAAAAACAGAGAGAGCGGAAAAACCATTTCGTAGCAACTGCGCATCGTTTCGCAACGGATCCGAGAAATGCCGGAAGAAGAGCCACCACAAAAGCCCATGGAGGAGGAGGAGGATGAGGAGCACGATCAGGACCTCGACCCAGATCAGGAGCAGGATCAGCAGCTCCAGCTTCCGCAGGGTGAGGTGCCAAGTCAGCAGCAACAGCCGGAGGAGCACACACCCGATGAGCAGCCACAACAGCCGGCGGAGATAGTTGTGGTCGCCGAATTATCCGCCGAAGAGGCAAGTACTTCTAATCCCGAGCTCTTCCAATAACCAGTGAAGCGGCTTGTTATATTGATATCTTTTATTTATCTTACAGATGCGCGCCCGTCGTCTTCGCACTTTGGCTGCCCGAAGTGGCATGCAGAGCGCCCTGACGCCCTTAGCTCCCACCCCTGACAAGGCGCCGCGGAAGCAGACCAATGTCTCCGGCGAATCTCGACTGGTGCGTGAGGCCACGCCCAGTGACAAGGAGGTGTCCCTGCCCACGCCCACTCCCACACCCATTCCCGCGCCCGCCTGGTCGGAGCTTAGCGGCAAACCGGACATGGATGTGGAGATGAAGTCGGTGGCCTCGACTCCAGTGCAAGATGTGGAAATGACTCCAGCCCTCAGCCTGCCAGTCACCGAGGCCACCAAGAGAAGTGTGCTGCAAAGCTGCAAGATCTCCGCTGATAATCATGAATTGGCCATCGAGTCGTTGGGTAGCCCAACCAAGAGTGCGAATGAGCAGAACGAGCAGCTGCTCTCCCGCCTGCTAAATGCCACCTGGAATGAGTACGGCAGTGGCTCTATCATATGCGCCCAGAGCGCCAGCTTCCTGGAGCAGCAACCCAGTCGCAGATTCGACTTCGAGTGCATTGTTTCCAATGTGCTCATGGAGGCGGCCCTCAAGATATTCAACGATGAACTAAATGAAGGAGAGGGCGGTTCCGCTCTTACAGACGATAAGGAATTTTCCTCCGCTAAAAAAATAAAATCAGATGATACGGAGGTGCAGGAGATTCTGGCCAATGCTGTAGCCCCTGGTGGAACAGCCACCACCGAAGAAACCGCGGCAAGCGGAGCCCCTGGTCCAATGGAAACGACGAGTAGCGAGGCTGGAGGTGCCTGCGTGGCTCCACCGGTGCTTAGCATCGTAACCACCACCAAGCATCACGTGCTGCTCTACCTATTCCGTTGCTACCAGAACTATCAGACGGAATGCTCCCGAAAGACGGCCGTCACCCAGCCAGCCTTGCAGCTGGCCTTCGAGCAGGTGATGCGGATGACCGTCCTGGTGCTCACTGATCGCATTCATCAGAATCTCAACGGCCACATGGATCAGTCGGCTCTACTGGAGCTGATGTACACGGACAAGGTGAGCGAGTCTTTCCTCATTGACTTGATAGCCCACACGCACCAGGAGCGCGATGCATTCGACGCAATTTTCAGCCAGGTGCTTCGAGGCCTCTTCGCCGGAATGCAGCGCAACATTTGCACTTCCAAGATCAGTGTACAGCAGATCGAGTGGCTGGCCAAACTAGTAGTCATTAAGGTTGGCAATGTTCGACCCATTGCTGATCTCGTGTCCAGGCAACCAAACTTCCTGCCGCCCATCTGCACAAAGATCTCAGGGCGGGAAATAGTAAAATGCAGCTTCCTGGGACCCTTCCTTTCCGTTTCGCTTTTCGCAGAGGAGAACGTAAAGTTTGCTGAGTTTAGCACTAAGAATAAGCTTGAAGATGCTGCTAGCTCTCGGCTGCGATGGGTAAGTCTATTTTATTAAAAGTTTTCAATTAATCAATGCTTCTATCAAAATAACTTTAAACGTATGATAATAATATGTTTACCCTTTTGAGTTTATTAGTTTTATTTATCTTTTATGAATGCAGTAGAATTCCACATTATGCACTATGTATTAATGTTGCTTATTGACAGTTTGATAGTTGGTGTATTTTTCTCTTTTGTAATTATCCTTATTGATTTCTATCCATCCAGGAGCTCCACTCCATGCGCACCCACATGCATGTTGTGTTCCATTCGCTGTGTGTAAATGCAAGCAGTCGTCCGAAGACGCTGGAGTACATCTCCAAAATCCTTCGCCACAATGACCGCCGCGTGCAGTTTGCCAGTGATGAAAAGCTGTTGGCCAGGGACGGATTCGTCATCAACCTGATGAGCGTGCTGCAGCAGCTGTCGGTCAAGATCAAGCTTGACCGCATTGAGCCGAACTTCCACTACTACAAGAACTCCCTTGTCAACATTGAGCAGGACACGAAGATTCGGTATAGCGAGGAGGAGTACCGCAACTTCCTGTCCCGTGATTTTAGCCAGCCCGTGGAGAACGCCAACTTCCAGACGCAATGCTGGTTCCTTACTTTGCAAGCCCACCACTTGGGCTACCTGCCCGCCATCCAGCGTTACCGGCAAAAGGTGCGCGCCATAAAGGAGCTGCAGAAGCTTATCGACGAGCTGGACCGAACCAAGCCCCATTGGGTCAACTCCCGCTACGCTAACCGTAATAATCAGTTCAAGGAACGCTGGGAGAAGCAGCTGCGCAAGCTAAATCGGTAGGTATTGTTTTGTAATCGTAATTTGTAAGGCAGTTCACCCAAGTCTCGGCCGATGTTTTTATTTTTTGTGAAACCTTTTAAACTTGGATCTTGGCATTTTTATTATATATTACATATTTAACAAAGTCAATATATAAATTATTTGAAGTTAAAAAATTTTAAGTTTTTGTTGTACAGCTCTTCAAAGAAGCGCAACATTTAAGGAAGGTATTAATAACTTTGACACTTGGCATTTTTTTTATACGAAAAAGTTTTTGTGTCATTATTATTTACAATCAAATTGATCATTCAAATTTGATTCTAGGTGTAGTTTCATTTTCAGCCAAAATTTATATTTTGACACTTAAAGATTTTTTTTGGGTGCAGACAAATGTTGTTTTGTATGAACTATTGTTGAATTTAAAAATAACTATATGGCCTATCCCAATAGTTTTAGTTTATACGATATGCACACAATTTATGAACATATGCTATTTATATAAAAGGGATCGGTCAAGTTGCTTTTGAGATATCGTGGCTACCAGTTGAAGAAACGTGGTAACTTTCAACATGTTTTTTAAAAGTTATACGTAGGTGGGATTTAAGCATAAAGAATGTAAATGCTTTGAAAGCGAGATATGAGTGAACCCACCTAATTTGTATTTCGCTGTCATTATGAAGTTTTTCATTTTTTTTGCGCTCTTATCAATGACGCATACCAATTTCGACAATGAGTCAACTTTTTTTTTTGCAAAGTCAGTCAACTTGTTTTTTTTTCAAAACGGTTAATCTTTAAATATTTACCAATTTTAGCTCGAAAACCTGCAGCGAGATCACGCTCTTGGACCCCGCCCTGCTCCAGCGATGCACGGAATTCTATTCTACTGTCTGCGAATTCATGCTGTACCAGTTCGAGGGACGCCCAATTGAGGGTCCTTTTATCTCCAAGCTGCCTGTGCAGCAGCTGAAGCCAACGGATGCATTTTCCGCACTGCCCGAGTGGTATATTGACGACATCGCCGAGTTCATCCTGTTCACCATGCAGCACGCAAACGTGGACATCCGTCAGGGCATCGACCACTCGATCATTACCTGGCTGCTG